CCCCAAAACCCCAAAACCCCAAAACCCCAAAACCCCGCCATAAAAGCCACACTTTGAATGACATATTAGCAATATTAATTAAACAAGAATAATTTAAATATGGGAATACAGGGATTATTCCAGTTGCTAAAGCCTATAACCAAGCAGGAGAACCTCAGGGATTTTGAAGGGCAGACCTGAGCCATTGACATCATGGGCTGGATCTATAAAGGAGTGTATTCATGCTCATATGAGATTGCAAATAACTGGGGCAGCTTTAGTTATCTTTCGTATCCGCTCAAAATGATCAAGTTGCTTCAAAGTTTCAATATTAAGCCTATCTGTGTCTTTGATGGAATGCACCTAAATGCCAAAAGTGCCACAGAGCATGGACGTAGCGAAGAGAAGAAGAAAAACAAAAAGAAAGGAGAGCAATTGGATAAGCAAGGAAATCATGAGGAAGCTAAAAAATATTTCGGAAAATCAATGGTCATCTCTTCCAAAATGATTAACCTTCTCATTGACGTTCTACATAAATTAGGTATTGAAGTGGTTATGGCTCCGTACGAAGCAGACGCACAAATAAGCTATCTTTGCAAAGAAGGATTAGCAGATTTCGCCGTCTCAGAAGACTCTGATATCACAGTCTTTGGATGTCCTACACTTGCTACAAAACTTCAACCAGGAGGTGATTGAGCAGTGACAAGAATCAATGATCTTTGGGATCCTGAAAATAAATCAAAGTTGACAGATAAAGCTCTGAAAGACTTATCTAGTCTCACTCACCAAGAATTTATCTACATTTGAATAATGTCAGGGTGTGATTATCTCCCATCCATGGAAAGAATGGGGTTAAAAACAGGTATCAAAAATTTTGCAAAGCACAAAAATATTGAGAGTTTCTTTATGTTCCTAAGAAGCCACAAGAAGTTCAAAGAGAGAATTCCTAAAAACTACTACGAATGAGTCAAGAAAGTGCATGATTTGTTCTTATATCAAACAGTTTACTGCCCGTATACCATGAAATGTAAACCTCTCAATCCTCTCCCTGAGGGAAAAGAGATCGACCAGAATTTCTGAGGGGAGCCTATTGAAGAAGAACTCATTGACAAATATGTAAAGGGGCTTTTGAACAAATACACATTAGAGGATAGAGAAATTTATGAGCCAAATGTATCCAGAATCTTAAAGGACATGAAGGACAACACTATTACAACAAACACATTCTATTATCTCAGCAAAGATTTTGATTTCACCAAGAAAGAGACTAAGGTTGAAGATGAGGAAGAAGAAAAGAGAATTGAAAGCGGTAAGTTTCTCCTTGAATAATCTTACAGATGTCCCACTTCTGACCAGGCTTTGTACTGCCTACACCACTGAAGGAGGTTTAGAGAACTTAGTTAATAAATTTAACAAGAAAAGGAAGAGAACTAGACCAAAGCCCAAGAAGAGAAAAGGTTCAAAGACCTCAGATATCGATATGGACGAACTAAAAGATATTTGCGCAGAAGATGATGTATCTCCTCCAGTCGAATCAGTAGTCAAAACTAGGCTTAAAGATGATGCAGATGTTGACCTGGAAAAGATTATTCCATTTCAAAACTATTTCTATGATAAGGAATTACGCACATACCAGAAAGACAAGGATTCATTATCTTCTTCCAAAACTCTTCGTAGACGTAACGATAAGGAGCTTGATAAAGAATTAGCAGAGCTGAATAAAAATAAGCCTAAAGCTAAAAGAAAGAGGCATGCATATCCAAAGAAGATTCCTGATACTTCGATACCAGCAAAGAAGAGCATCTTAAGTCATTTTAAGGCCTAATTCAAATATTTTCAGCATTTTTAAAGTATAATGGGGTTTTGGGGTTTTGGGGTTTTGGGGTTTTGGGGTTTTGGGG